GAAACCGGGAAAGCCCGCCAACAAAGGAGACTCTTATCGCCCGATAACGCTCCTTCCCCCGGTCGCGAAGACACCTGAGTCCCTACTACTCCCATACTTCACCTGCCACCTGACCCCAGCGAAGCACCAGCACGCATTCCGCAAAGTGCACAGCACAACAACAGCACTTATCGCCATAAACACCCAAATAACTCGTGGCCTAAATCGAAACCGCCCCTGTGAGAGAACGGTCCTAGTAGCGCTGGACTTGTCAAAGGCATTTGACACCGTCTGCCATTCCACGCTACTAGAATACATCGAGGCCTCCTCCTCAACCACCTGAGGGAGTTTCCCTGATCTCATACGCTGACATTTTGGCGTCCGGGAATGGAATTGATGGCCTCTGCTCAAAAGTGAACGACTATCTCTCGCTTCTTCACTGCAAGGAGCCTAACACTCTCCCCAACGAAATCAACGGCGACCCTCTTCACCACCTGGACGAAGGAGGTCAGGCTAGAGTTAGGTATACACGTCGATGGCACACCAATACCGACTGTAAACAACCCGAAAATTTTAGGGGTCACCTTCGATAGCCTGCTCTCCTACTCCACGCACACAACCGCAGTTGTCAATAAAGTACAGAGCCGCAACAAGGAAACAAGAACAAGAAACGTTGCTGGCAACTTACAAGGCATTTGGCCGGCCGGTTCTAAACTATGCTGCGCCAGTTTGGACGCCGGGGACTAGTTGGACGCAGTGGACGAAGCTACAGACTTGTCAGAACGCCGCACTCCGGACAGCGACTGGGTGCCTTCTGATGACGCCTGAGAACCACCTACACAGCGAGGCCCAAGTGCTCCCCGTAAGGGAACACAACAAAATGCTGTGTAAGCAATTTCTGGTGGGGTGTCACAGAAGTGAACACCCAAGCAGACCTTGGCTTCAGGAGGAGCCTCGGCCCAGGCACGTCAGGGGGCACCTATTCGTATACAAGGACGCAGTCCAACAATACGTTGACCAACCACTGGACCCGACGACATACAGACAAGCCATCAACGACATTCATAGAGTCAGTTACCACCTACCTCGACTCTCGACCTATGAATGCCGTAGTAGGAGCCCAATCACCACCTGTAGAAGAGACGGAGCTTCAACTGCCAAGAGAGACCCGCGTTACCCTGGCTAAATTACGGTCTGGATACTGTAGCCGCCTCAACAGCTACCTGTCCAGACTCGACCCCAATATCCCCAATGAGTGCCCGGCATGTGAAGGATCCCCCCACGACACCAACCACCTCTTTACATGCCAGCTCAATCCGACTCAGCTACCACCCCTCTCCCTCTGGTCCGAACCCATTGAAACAGCTCGTTTCCTCGGCCTCCCGTTAGTTGAGCTTGACGAAAATGATTGCACGTAGACCCGAAAAAAGCGGGGCTTAGTAGTGCTGCTACAACAACGACAACAAAAACAACAACAACAATAACAGCAAAAACAACAGCAACTACACCACAACTCCACCTCAGTCAAGTGCAATGCTTGCGAGGGGTGGAGTCACCTCAGAGTCTGCTCAGGACTACGGACACATCGGCAGTGGACCACATCGTTTGTGGCCCCCTGCTGCTCAAACAGAGCAGCCTCCACGGCTAACCCCACTCCACCTGAGCAGCTCCACACAAACACCACAGCACCACAACATAACAACACAATAGACCACACCGCAACCACGACAGGCCACATAACAGACACAACCGCACCACCACCCACACGCCGCCGCCAACAACTCCTGGTTCCTCCTACAATCTGCACGGTATGTCAGACCAGGATATTCCGTAATGTGACATCAGTCAAGTGCGACACCTGCCTTGGCTGGTGCCACTTTAGGGCATGTTCAGGTCTGCGCACCACGCGAGACTTGACCAGGAGCTTCGATGGCCCGTGTTGCGCTGCACGGTCGCAAACCCCAACTGCGACGCCGCCCACTACCACCACAGGGCGGCAACCTCCACAGCAGCGCACACAGCCAATGGCGGCAAGGCCACACAAGTCCCTCACACCCCGCATAACTACACGTCTCCCTAACCACATAAAGCTCCCTCAATTCAGAGCAAGATCGAGCACATAACCGTCTTCATGGGAAGGCATGGTATATTGATAGCTGCGGTCCAAGAGACACCGTGCAGTATCGTCTTATTGAAGCAGACATAGACCGCAGGGACACCACCATAGAATGTCAGGGCATTGCTATCCGGCCAGGCGATGTTGAGCTCGAAATATTTAATGTGTACATACCCCCTGTCACTTGCTGCCCGGCAAGGTGAAAACCGTATGGTAGTAGGTGACTTTAATGCGCACCACGATCTTTGGCACTCAAGCCTGTCAAACGATCGTAGGAGAACAGACTGGGCTGAGCAGATAGACGATTCGACATTCTGCACAATGAACGTCGACGCACTCACCAGGATTATGGGCAGCTGCTGCAGCTCGTCAGACCTAACAATAGTCAGCGCTGGTCTAATAAACAGCGTATCGTGGCGACCTATGCTGACCCTAGCATCACAGCATCTGCCCATAGTCATCTCGATTGATAAACCTACCGACTTTGCTTCCGCGGATCACCGCACCTATGTCATCTTTTCCAAAGCTGACTGGAAAGACTTCGAGGATGTTACTGAAAGCGCCTTCACTGCCCTAATCGCACCAACCGTCGTTCACGTATGTGAGCGTAAATTCCGTAGGGTTGTCACTGCCGCTTTGGTCAACCGTGAAGTCATTGACCAACGACGAAGCATGACGACAGAGTTGAAATAGACTTTGGTGACCTCACTTCGTCGGACCCGGAGCGAAAGCCACCAAAGCCATTCTACCCGAAGGAATTTGTATGTTGATGCTGAAAAATTTGGGTCCCGCGGGTGTGGATTATTTAACCAAGATCCTCAACCTGTCAATGGCCACTCTCATCATTCCAGACATCTGGAAAATTGGGAGAGTCGTCCTACAACTTAAACCGGGGAAACCGTCCAACAAGGCAGAAACCTGTCGCCTGATAACTCTCCTTTTCCCGGTAGCGAAGCCACTTGAGGCCCTTCTACTCCCGCACTATACAAACCACCTGACCCCAGCGACGCATCAGCATGGGTTCCGTAAAGTTCACAGCACAACAGCACTGAACGCCATAAATACCAAGATAACTCATGGCCTCAACCGGAACCGCCCCTGTTAGAGAAGCATTCTAGTAGAGCTGGACCTGTCTAAGGCGTTCGACACTGTCAGCTATTTATTTATTTATTTATTTATTTATTTATTTATTTATTTATTTATTACAGTCATTTGACCTATATACATTCACGTATATACATTTGAATTATGTATTGCAATATATAATAAAGGTAAAGTTAAAATTAATGCTTAATGCTATTCAACGCTACTAGAAGACATAGAGACCTCCTCTCTCCCACAGGGACTCAAACGGACGAACTATGGGTGAATTCCAATACGTCAAAATACAAAGCATCAGTCTATTTAATATCTAAACAGCACTAGAAGAAAAAATCTAACTTGCGCAACTTAGTAGAAAACTAGCACCTACCCGTGGTTGAGCACATTTGGCATTACAATCTATTGAGGTTTAGAAATACTTGATGCTTTGTATTTTGACGTTTTGGAATGCAAGAAGGTCTTCAAGTCGCTAGCCGGCAGCACCTGGGGCAAAGACAAAGCCACGTTTCAGGCAAATTACAAGGTAATTCGCCGGCCGGTAGTGGATGAAGCTGCAGACTTGCCAAAACCCGGCCCTCAGGACAGCGACAGGATGCCTTTTGCTCATAAGATCTCCGTTGAGTATAACACAATGCTCGGCAGCAGTGTCTAGTTGGGAGCCACAGACGTGGTCCCGCAAAAAGACAACTGCTTACGGAAGAGCCCTTGCCCAGGCACGTCAGGAGGCATCTCTAGGAACTGACGGACGAAGTCCAGAGGTTTATCAAACAACCTCTGGACCCAACAGCTTATCGACAGGCCTTGAGCGGCAGAGAGGCAGTGTGGAGTTATGTAGACTCTTGACCTGTGACCGCCGTTCTGGGCACACAACCACCAGACGTAGACGAGACAGAACTTCGTCTGCCTCATCAGACTCGGACCACAATAGCCCAACTTCGATCTGGTTACTGCAGCAGGTTGAACTCATACCTGAGCAGAATAAACGAAGATGTTCTAAACGAATGCTAACAGCATCTCTTCGCAGGCCCACTGAACCCCACCCTACTGACGCCCCTGTCCCTATGGACAGACCCCATCGAGGCTGCACGCCTCCTCGGGCTACCGCCAATAGAGCTTGACGACAACGATTGAGAAATTAACCGATGTGGGCGCGATTGTTGCAGCCGCTACAACAACAATAACAATAATATTCTAATTACCTGTACAACGATACCAATTTATGGGAATTTTAAGATTTGGAAATTAGCACCTTGTCCCCTACTGCAATCACAATATTCGTTTGCACAAAAAATTTTATGTACCCTTGAAATCGGGAAAAAGGGGCGGGTCACCTCCACTTTTCCATGTTTCCCCCGGTGAGGAGTCGCTATTCTGCACTTGTGGAACTCTCCTTTCTGTGTTGCCGAAGAAAAGGAGCTGAAAACCTTTTGCAGAGATATTTCGTGGATATTTTTTGTGTGTGACAGTTCAGCTCGGAAATTTCCAAAAAAAAAACATTTTTAAAACCGAGATTGGTAAAAATTAGGGCACAGATATAGTATTTTTTTTATAAAGTGTATACCCTTGTCTACAAGTGTGTGTAATTTTTTTTTGATTCGGGCCACGCGTTTGGGGACACAGATATAGTATTTTTTTTAATAAAGTGTATACTCTTGTCTACAAGTGTGTGTCAATTTTTTTTGATTCGGGTCACACGTTTGGGGACATCAACCCAAAATCGTTGTCCAAATAACTAAACCGTACTTTGATGTTCTTTTCCCTCATATTATTGTAATTAAATTAAAGATTTTAATATTAAACTTACCTGATTTATCTTCAACTCTTTATATTTCTCCAGTTTGGTGTCATAACTAGTCCGAAGTATATCTTGTTCCTGGGAAAGGCTAAGGTTATTTTTCATCATTTCTGAAAGCTCTGATTTAAGTTCTGTTGTTCGTGAAATACGATCCAAGTAGTAACCAATAAATTCAACACTAAAGGCAGGAGCTATGTGCCACTTTTTGCGAATATCCGTCAGAGATGCAATCTGTGCTTCTTGTCGTTCAAGCAATTCCACATCAATGGCCATTATGTTTGCCTTTGACAATAATCGCTTACATGCCGAAGCAGAAGTTGTTAAAAGACGCGACATTTTTTGAGTTGGTACCCAAGGAGCGGGTTTCAACTTCTTGTTGTTCGAATACTTTGTCTGATATTTTAAGAGTTTGCGTTTAATACGTAACTGAGCTGGACAGGGATCGTCATGCTTAAATAAAATTTTTCCTTTCTGTTTTTCTTGCATATTTAACCGTAGATTATAGTAATTTCTTTTTCGACGCTTTATCATTTCTTTCTCCGAATGCACTTTACAGTGAGCAAAAAAAGGATCGGCTGCATCTGCTTCTTCATGATGTGCCTCCGTTAGAAATCCAGCCACCTGGGCACAAGTTACATGGAAATATGTCTTACACATGCCAGCATCACATCCAATACAAACACCTGTTCGTGCAAATCGCGGAGTTTCACAAAGACTACAAACTTTAGTTCCCCACTTGCTGTAGGGCATTTCGAATAAAGTAACAGAAGATAGTTGGTCTACTTCCCCAAAAGCAACTCCTGGTATATATAAAGCGCAAATTAAATGCACCCACTTTCCTACATCCGTTTCTTTGTATATTCCACCTTTATTTGGACATAGCTCACAAATTGGTTCGGAAACGCCGGCACGGCAAGCTTCACAAAACCACGGTTCAGTCGAACATGTAGAGTTTGTGCTTGAAATACTCAAATTGTCATTCACACCGTAGCATCCTTCATGTACAGATACCCCACAGCCATCACATTCTATTATTTCGTTTGAGTCATCACTCCGATCCCCCAGGCATACGCAACAAATAGGTTTTACTGCTTTTTTGGCCTCTATATATCGATGTATGTCTACTTTCTGCAAAGCTCTTATTTCTCTAAAACCATTGACTTGGGGCTTGGAAACATCAATTTTATGTTGCTCCGGTGACAAATCATCCGATATACTTTCGTTGTCAGTGCTGTTAGAAGACGAGTTTTCTTCATTACTATCCGGATCCTCCTCTTCGCTATCATGATCTTCTATTCTGAAATCGCTATCTGATGAACTTTCTCCAAGATCCAAATCTAAAAGCGCCTGAGTGGTCATTTTTGGTTGTCTTACACGCTGCAAAGACATTTTTTTTATATAAACATTAATCAAAAATTTTATTAAAAATGTTAAACAGTGGCAAAAAAATTACGAGTAGGCTTAGCAAACTATCGACAATAGGAATTCAAACCACAGTATAGACAGTAACCAACCTTTTTGGCACAATATAACCAGTAAACAACCTTCGGTGAATTTGGCGACTGCCTTCCTCGGGGATGAATATGCTAGGGATGAAATTATTGGTATACACGGCTTCCAAGCACACAGGGTTGCTTTTAAGAAACAAAAAATAATTAAATCCAAATAGTTTCAAAAAGTATAGTGTAAAACGAAATTTATTGAACAATTCCACATAAAATGGTATACATAAATGACGCATTTTCTAAACGATTTAAATTAAACGTATTTGCGAATTGATAGAAAAGTACTACGGATTGTTTATTTTTTGTTAACTATGAGGTGAATGAAAATTTTCAACCCGGTTTGATTTTATTACTAAGGCGTCTAATAAATTCATGGCTTTTTCTAGAAGAATAAATGTCAGTAAAGACAAGTCGTTTTTGTATAATTTCTGATTTTAATTGCTCAACTTCTTTTGAACCAGAGCAACTGTCAAAAATTTCCAATAGTAAAAAGTTACGAATTGGCACAGCAGAAATGTAAAATTTTCTCGCCATAATAAAAAGTTTTTTCAACATGGAACTTTTCTACTAATTGACATGAAATTACTACCTCAACGCTCGGAGCGCTGCCACTGAGGGCCTTTGCCAACTGATTAAAAAGAGAAAATTTGGTAAGACCAAACAAAAATTTTGAGATTTTTCGTTGTGAATACGAATGCCATAGTTTTTACCTAGCTCGTGGGGCTACGCAAAATTTTGACAACTTGTAAATATGTATACACATAAAGTTGTTGGCGGTAATAAGGAGTCAAAATTAAAATGGAGAAAAGAACAAAAAGCGTAGGTTAGTTGTCAGTTATAAAATAAATCCAATTTATTTGCGAATATTTGTTTATTCTTTTTATTGAAAGGCAACCACTCGGGAAAGCTTGTGTTAATTATATTGATAACGGAACCTGGCAGCTCGCACGTTGTCTAAATTCTCAAGTAACATAAAGTCCACAAAAAAATAAGTACGCCATGTATAAATTTTAACAATACACAAAAATAGAGTTTTCGCACGAGCGTTTGTATGGTTTTTCAACACCATTTATAATTTTCTTTTAATAAAATCACGATTTGACAAATACTTAAATTTATTTAACTAATAATAATACAGCACACAACCCTGAAATCTAAGAAAAAGTCTGAGGAAGGCCATTAAATAGCAGCACACAACCCTGTGCCTTCCTCAGAAGTGAATATAACTACAACAACAACGACTACTACAACAACAACCCAAAAAGCACAGTATAGACAGTAAGGTCGGTGTTATGCAGACAAACTTTTGTTTGCCAAATTAAATGGCGGCTGCTTAGTTTGCTCGGAGGTGGTTATGTCGAGTTTGGCACAGGGTTGCACGTTCATTATGGTTTTCATGGCTATTGCCAACACGAAATGAGAATTTCAGATGTACATAACGCGCAAAATTTAAAATTTTTGTATATGGCAACACCGAATTTGCTGCAGTTTGACCAAACAAAATTAGTTTGCTGTTACTACGTTTATACGCATGCATAAGTCGCTTTAATTCATTTCGCCGCGATTCAAAACATATGTATAAACTGAATTTCAATTCGCATTGAAAGAGCGAAGTGTTTTGGCTCACACTCCATTTCAAATCGGTAGTTTAATTCTCCAGACAGTTAGGTCGGTGTTATGCAGAAATTTTGTTTGGCAAACTGCGTGCAATTGTTGTTGCAGCAAACTCGGAGAGAGCGAGTTTGTCGACTCTCACAGCAAACTAATTTTGTTTGGTCAAACTGCAGCAAATTCGGTGTTGTCACATACAAAAATTTTAAATTTTGCGCGTTATGTACATCTGAAATTCTCATTTCGTGTTGGCAATAGCCATGAAAACCATAATGAACGTGCAACCCTGTGCCAAACTCGACATAACCACCTCCGAGCAAACTAAGCAGCCGCCATTTAATTTGGCAAACAAAAGTTTGTCTGCATAGCACCGACCTTAGATAGAGCGTATAAACACTGCTCGCACTCAAAGCGAATTGGAGATCGGCTGTTCCGCTCAAATTCCAAATAATCGCATCAGTATTTAAAAGCTGATTAATAATAATTATTATAATCGTTCTTTTTCTTTGCCACGATTTTATAATGCCGAATAAAACTAGATTTTTATCACTTCCCATTATGTTAACTTATAAAATGTCAAATGAAAACTGCTGATTTTGTTTGCTTTTGAAGACGGTTACTTTGATGCCGATATAAAGCCGTAAGTGTAGACACTAGAGCGAAATGTGTACGGTGTCAATGCGCTTTCAATTAAGTCGATTATTCTGTGCGTATAAACGTAGTATGTGAGAGTCACCAAACTCGCTCTCTCCGAGTTTGCTGCAACAACAATTGCACGCAGTTTGCCAAACAAAATTTCTGCATAACACCGACCTAACAAACCTTCGTCGCCAAATTCACCGAAGGTTGTTTATTGGTTATATTGTGATTCAAACGATGCATCGATATTTTTGAAACATCGATAATATCGTTTCAAAATTCGATGTGTGCAATCGATGTTTACAATTTCCTAAAATCGCTAAATTTTCGATATATCGATGCCAGTTTCAGAGATGTTTTAACATCGACCTATGTCCTAACATTTTTTTTACTGGACATGAATTTTATTACTTATTCATTTGAGGAACATTCAGAAATTCTGAGTTTACTCTTATCTTTCCATATTAACAATTCTTACTTACTCATTAAAAAAGAACGAGGATGCCGTTGAAATTTGAACGAAATTGGGCCTTGGAATTTTAGGCTCAGTGGACTTACGACGGCATGCATATCTATTCTATTTATAGGAAGGTTAAAGGAATGGTAAATAAATACAGGGAAATACATCCACATGTAAGTATTTTTCTAATTGAATTACAGAGATTTTGAATTGAAATGTATTAAATTTCCCTTTAAATGTGACTACATGCTAACAAAGTATAAAACATCAGAAAGTATCGATATATCGATGTTTTGCTGGCAATGTATTTTAGCTTCGATGTTCGTTTTTCCGATGCATCGAAACATCGTTGTATCGATGTTACTCCCCAAAATTTTCATTTCTAATCGACAACCATCAAGGTATTGGCCCAATGCACGCTTGCTTTGCTTGCTTTGCTTACTTTAGTTTGCTTTGCTTTACTTTGAAGGAACTGAAGTAAAGCTGCCACTAGGCCAACTTTCATACATTTTAGTAGATTTTAAAAATTGTTTGACAGTTCTCAAAGCCAAGCAAGCAAAGCAAGCGTGCATTGGGCCAATACCTTCAGTAACGCCTGCTGCACGCTCTATTCCAAAAACTGAAAACGAAAGAGCGAGGAAACTCATAAGGCCCGTTTGAGTTAGTTAATCAATAAATATATACAACTTTGACGTTGCGTTGGCGTTGGCGTCGCTTCGATAGCTGATTATGAATATATGCATTTATAACCAAAGTTGGATATCGCCATTGCAAAAGTAAAACAGAAAGAGTGCCAACTCTCAACTTTTGGCGTGCGTCGTTCGTCAGCTGTTCCAAATAACGAAAATTATGTTAAATAATTTTCTTTTAATCAAATGTGAGCAAGAAATATAGTTTTTAGTGCAGCTATTGATATACAGTTTTGATTTATCTGCCGCTAGTATGTCAATTTAGTGACAAAACAATTCGGTGCTATGCGTTCATTGTTATAAGCTCGGGCGTTACTTGCGGTGCTGGCAAAGCGACGGCAGTGCCTACGGAATACCAAAGTCGTATGTAGACGAGATTATAATTTTCGAGTAATTTTTTGTTCAAGTTGAAAATTTCACCAAACAAAATGTACGATAACAAACCATCTAAAACAAATACAAGTGTGCAGAACACACACATCTCAACTAAACTAAAAGCGAAGGTACACAACATGCGTCCGCCGGCAAATGCGTCACGCCGTCAATGTCAAATAAAATTGAACACGTGCGTTTGTATGACAGCTGCTACAGATGTGCTTATCAGCTGGTTTTTGTTTTCAAAATTATGAGCGGCACTACGCAAGGAGTGTGATAGCAAATTTTTCAACGTCGTAAACGCACCAACGGATCAACGCGACGCCGCAACAAATAAAATTATGTACCTTCAGCTTTAGCTCTTTGAACGTTTATCTGCTTTATATTTATTTTAAATTTCATTGTTTACCGATGAGGAACACGTTTTATAAATTTGTTTATTTTCCATTAGAGAACCGAAATAGTATGTCCAGTGACGAGCAAAACTGTAACATGGTGTAACATATTTTATTTCAGCCACTGCTAACTTTCCAAGCTCTAACGTCATTAAGGGCCGGTTGTTCAATGTCTGATTAGCACAAATCGGAGCACAACTACTGCTTTATCGATCACATGTTACATGCATGATGTCGAAATCGTCGATAGTGTAGTGGTAGTGATAACCCGACATTGAACAACCGGCCCTAATACTTTTGTTGTATATTCCTATTGGTACTGTTAGCGCAGTTACTTGCTTGTTCATTCAAATGTATTAGTCTATTTGTACCTTAATGTTGTTAGAGTAGTTACTTGCTTGTTCAAGCGAACCCATGAACGAAAGACACAAGATCACGTAAGAACAAGAGAGTGAATAAAGTCGATTTTTTTAGCGGGTTCTACGCCATCTTGTTTCACTGGAAAACGAGCGAAAAGTAAACAAAGCAAAGAAAACAACGAAAACCAAAATTATTGTCGGCCACTTTAAACACACAATTTAGGTAAAATTATGCAATAAAATGCTTGAAAATGTGTTTTCATGTTCAATTAACTCTTCTTTACTTAAATAAACGTGTAAAATAGTGGTGCTTGTGATGTAAACAAACGCTCAGCTGACGAACCCGCTTTCGCAAACTTTTTCCTCAAAACCAGTTACAAATACAATGTCGCGTTCTTACGTGATCTTGTATTTTTGGTTCATGAAGCGAACCAATCCTCTGTTTGTGCCAGTGATGATAAATGAGTTTTTTAATTTTGTACAAAATGGCCAAAAAAGGTATACTAAATAAGCCGAGAAAGTACCAACATTTAAAATACCATACATACATAGTTACATTTACATATCGTCGTTTAAAGTGCAAAACCGCGTATCAACAAAATGCAAAACCGCGTATCAAGAAAATGCAAAACCGCGTATGTGAGTTTGTATAAATTATTTTCTGGAGAGTAAAAACACTCATATTTCAAAATGATCCTCTTTTTTATAAAGAAATCGCATTTCTGGCAAGTATATTTCAGGACGAATGGATAAGGTTTGAGCCAAGAGCTTGTGTGAGCGAAGCCAATGTCAGTTACGCGGTTTTGCAGAATGACGATACGCGGTTTTGTACTTTAAACGACGATATGTTTTTAGATTTGCTGTATAAAAATCATGATATAACACATGGCGTGTCGAAGGTGAAAAACATAAGTGCAAATCAATTGTTTGAAAGGGCCACCAAAACGCCAAGGTAATCAACAAAAGCATAAAAGTTATATTGTTATCTAAGTGCTAGTAATACAAAAATTAAAAAAAAAATCGTTGCATTTAACGAAATGGAAGTTTTACAAAGATATTTCCTTTTATAGAAATAAACAAGTTAATAGCAGTGCTTTCGTACCTAAAATCTTGCAAAGTGGGGGAAATCGAGAGCGCAAAATGACACTGAAATCTGCCACTTTTTGCTGGAAAAATTTTACCTGCGAAAACTTACAAGTAAAAAAGTCTGTTGACCACAAACATGTGTTCGTGAATAAACAAAAGAAAGGAAGAAAAGTTCAGTTTAGTTAATTTACTATTAATCTTTAATTTTCTAATTTCCGTGCGTCAACTATGGCTGCTGTATAAAATTTTTCAATTGTACCATATTTTTCACAGAAATATACCAAAATAGATAATATTGCTGAAAGGTTCTGGCCGAATTTGTCAGTTGATCGTTAAAACGAAAATGGGATAGTTTTAAAGGCACATTTGTAGCTATATCTATTTGACTTTTGTGACAAGGAAGGGTGCTTGGAAGAGATTATTTTATTTTTGAACGCGTCATAATGTGGTATCAAAAAAACTTATTCTTTCCGAGATAATTAATTTATATGTTAAAAACATTTTTCTTATACAAAAGTATTAAATAGTAAAAAAATTTCATAGTAGGGACAATGCACCAAGCGTATAATAAATTACCAAAGGAACCACCTATTGCAACTGTGAAAGTTATCAGCTGTTTCGAAGATTGCAAGTTTTTGCAAATTTTGCAAACTGCTCAGAATTTTTGCTGCTGGATGATTTTGTGTGGAAAATACAAAAATACTCCTACCAAGTTTACCTATCAGAAACTCAGAATGGCGTGAGTTGCACGTTTTTACTGGTTTTGCGTTCAATAACTTTTTCTCATATTTTAGTCTTCCCCCTAATTTTAGTCGCTATGTTTATTTTATTCTCTGGCTGCTAGTACTTACTGGAAAATTTTATGAATAGTCCCATTATGACAGGAACTTTTTTTTTTGATTTAAGTAAGAGTTTCGTTTTTAATAAACACCACATATTTACTTAAATATGGTAGAAAAATATGACTATATTTTTATACACAAAAATTCAAAACTCCAAGTAAATAGAGTGTGGTATTTCGACATAATTGTGCTGCAGTACCGTGTCTTGACAAAAATGTATCAAAAATGTCAATGTAGTACCATTGTACTTTTGGCTTCCAAAAAGTCCAAAAAAGTACAATTGTACCATCAATTTCATCACTGGTTTGTGCCTTAATGTAATGTAATAATTGTTATCGATTTCTAATTTTGTAAAAACGACCACAACACTAATGAAAAACTCATTCGTGATCTGGAGTTTTAAGCGGACGAAGCACACAAAAGTGTAAGAGTTGTTTTTTATTGAGAAAATTATCAATTGTAACCCAACGAATATGTATTTTTAGGAAATAAAGCATCACGCCTTGTAAAGCGTTTTTTCTCAGCAAAAGGCTAGCTCTTATTTTTTCGTTCCTCGCCAGATCACGTTTCAACAGCCTTTATTTCACTTTTCGCCAAAGAAGAAACAGCAAGTGAGGTGCGTGAATAGCAGTACGCAGGTGGAGTATAATTGCCCAGCGGACTTGGTAAAAAGTGTGCACCAGAAGTATTGAGTGTGCATCTCCGGGAGTATTGAGCGTGCATCGGCTACATTGGGTTGTGCACCAGCATTTTTAAGTCGTACAGGCGAAACTAAATTGTGCACCAGCGTTGGGGGTCGGTTCGCGGTAGTATAAGTATGGATCAGCCGGCTTAATTTCGCATTCGGAATATTAAAGCGCGCACCAGGGCTCAGTAAGTGTAAAAGATTTTTAGACATGTATCAAGGAGAGAGGTGGCGTTTAGTTCGTCGAAGAAGACTTTGCTTTAATTGTTTGAAAGGCAATCACCGTAGCAGCGTTTGTCAAGAACAACATGAATGTGAACGAGAATAGAACGTGTACGCGAGGTATCGCATAGGCAAAAAGCGTCACGGCAAGCATCGAATCACGTAGCTCAGCAGCAGCAACAAGCCGCGCAGCTACAACCCGCTCCGCCGGAGGGAATACAACAAGTTTTTACGAATACTATCCCGTCTAACAAAGCATCGAAGTTTTTATTTAAAATTATACCGGTTATGTTGTACGCAAATTCGAAAGAAATCAAAACTTATGCGTTTTTCGACGAATGGTCTGCTATATCACTAATCAACCGTGACTTAGTAACTCGTCTTGGGCTTAAGGGGTACAGCGATAGTCTAACGTTGCAATGGTTCGGCAGCACAACTGTCGCTGAACCTTCTGGTAGGGTAGATGTAGAGATTTCCGGTATTGAGCAAGGTAGCAAGAAGTTTAATATGCGAGGCGTGCGTACGGTTTCAAATCTCCAATTGCCAATGCATTCAATAAGCCTATCGGACCTTCATTATAAGAATCGACATCTGCCATTCCGCGAGTATTCTGGTGCTGTGCCCGAACTCCTGATAGGATTAGACGACGCGTATCTCGGAGTACCACGACGAACGGCTCACGACGGTAGCAGAGTTTATGCGGTGGTGCTGACAAAACTTGGATGGGTAATTTACGGATCAGGAAGTCGTCCAGCTACCCATGCGCATTATTATATCATACGAAGAAACTGTTAGAGGAGAATACTAAGCGCTATGGACATCGATTCGAAACATGCTTATTGTGGAAACACGATAACATAGAGTAGGCGACGAGCCGAGAGATGGCAGAGAGAAGGTTTTACACACTGGAAAGAAGACTTAAACGCAACGATAATTTGAGTAAGGCATACACTACGATCATGGCGGAGTACGTAGCGAAGGGATACGCCCGAAAGCTTAGTAAAGAGGAAGCTGCAGTCAAAGACAAGCGTACGTGGTACCTGCCTCACTTCGGGGTGTATAACCCAAACAAGCCTGGGAAAATCAGGTTGGTGCTCAATGCTGCAGCAGAGTCGGAAGGGGTTTCCTTAAATTCAGCGATATTGAGTGGGCCAGATTTATCGCAGCCGTTAAGGACGGTACTAATGAAGTTTCGACAGAAGCCAATTGGAGTTTGTGCAGACATTGTGGAGATGTTTCTCCAAGTGAAGATCCGGAAGGAAGATCTGTCATCGCAGCGTTTCCTTTGGAGATTCGATTCCGGGGCGCCGTTGGAAGAGTACGTAATGAATGTGATGACCTTCGGAGCCACATGCTCACCGTGCGCAGCGCAGTTTGTAATGAACAGAAACGCCGAGGATTTTCATACTACGCGAGCGATACATCTTGAAATAGCAAAAGACTTGACTACTAATACTTGCCTGATGATTTTAAGGAACTCTATGAGTAGGCGAGGTGTTCCTGTACAAATACGGTCGGACAATTGTACGAATTTTGTCGGCGCTGACCGAGAGCTGAAGTGACAACTGAAGCAGTTCGAGGACGGTAAGATAGCTGATGCACTTGCAAATAAGAATATAGAGTGGATCTTTAATTGTCCCTCGAATCCCCACGCCGGAGGTTGCTCGGAGCGCTTAGTGCGAAGTGTTAAAAGAGCAATGGGGCATGCATTATATAACGAAAATCACCATGGCCTATACCACCTAATGTGCGAAGCGGAAAACATCGTTAATTCGCGGCCTTTGACTGACGTACCGTTGGACGCCACGACTGACGAACCACTAACCCCAAATCATTTCCTTATAGGTACAGCCAATTCCGATCAAACGCCACACCCGCAGTAAGAGAAGTTCCGGGCGTCGAATTAACAGTGGCGAAAGGTTCAGCAGATGCAGTATCATTTCTGGAGAAAGTGGGTCGACGTATACTTACCCGACCTCGTCCAGAGAATCAAATGGTAACAACCAGTGAAGCCATTAGCCGTAGGTGACGTCGTCCTTGTATGCGATGGCTGTCTGCATCGCTCGAAATGGCCTATGGGACGATTGACAAAAGTATTTCCTGGTAAAGATGGTCAGGATAGATCAGCAGAAGTCCACACGAAGATGGGTACGTTCAAGCGGCCGGCTTGCATCTTAGCTAAGCTGGAATTGGGTAAATCTGGTTAGATTTACGGGGGAGGGGCTGTTAGCGCAGTTACTTGCTTGTTCATTCAAATGTATTAGTCTACTTGTACCTTAATGTTGTTAGAGTAGATACTTGCTTGTTCCAGCGAACCAATCCTCTGTTTGTACCTTAATGTAATGTAATAATTGTTATCGATTTCTAAATTGGTAAAAACGACCACATCACTAATGAAAAACTCATTCGTGATCTGGAGTTTTAAGCGGAGGAAGCACGCAAAAGTGTAAAGGCTCTGTTATGCATACTTGGCATTGCATGCACTGCTATACCATTTTTACGTAGAAATCAAAAACCAACAGACTTTTACGTATGTAATGCTGTGCGTTGGGTAACCGCTTACACTCGAAGCTCATTTAACAGATTCCTTATATGACAACTCTCAAGCAATGCCAAGTATGCATAACAGAGCCTTAAGGGCCGGTTACTCAATGTCTGGTTAACACTAATCTGCGGTTAAACATCGTTATCGACGTTACCGACTCCCTGTTATATGCATGGAGTCGAAGACGTCGGTAGCGATGTTTAACCGCAGATTAGTGTTAACCAGACACTGAGTAACCGGCCCTAAGAGTTTTTTATTGAAAAAATTATCAATTGTAACCCAACGTATATGTATTTTTAGGAAATAAAGCATCACGCCTTGTAAAGCGTTTTTTCTCAGCAAAATGCTAGCTCTTATTTTTTCGTTCCTCGCCAGATCACGTTTCAACAGATACACCTGTACGTCCTCTCTCATAACGATTTGAAGTAAATACAACATTAATAATAAAAAAAGCAGATAAAAACGTAAATAAAGGCTAATGTTACAGTTCTGCACTCATATGTTTTTAATAACTTTTTGACATCTTTCGCGAAAAAAGGAATTATTAACACAATGTTCAGTATACGTCAGCTTTTTTTTAGTTCCTGGATACAATTTGGCATATCTAATGTGTATCTCTGTAAAAATTCTGGAGGTATAGCCTTGCTTTGCTTTCACAGCTCATGTACTCAACTGGAAGGACTTGGATACTTAGTAAGCTGCGCTTTTATTTGATTTCGCAAATTCTCGATGAGATTCATGTCCCCGGATTGTGGAGGTCATTCCAAATTAGCAAATTGTTGCTTCTGTATGCACTCTTTGCGAACATGTGCAGTGCGTTTTGGGTGAGTTTTCAGCAGAAACTTAAAAAAAATTTCTACCTAAATCATTAATTGGGACCGAGCTCACCTGCAAGTGTACATGTGGATTCATACACGTGAGCATTTCTTTCAGATCGAGAAAAATCCGAAGACGCATTTCTGGAGACTTCCCGCAACGGTTCTTTCATACAAGCCGTCAAATTCAGACACACGCGGCATACGTATACATTCACTTGGGCAGACAAGCGATTGCAAATTTGAGCGTTTAGCAGTGTTGTCGCAAGGCATGTGCGTGTGCAAAGTTTGCGGGAGAGAGACAGAGAACTGGGTATAGTGCGATGGGTGTGATCTCTGGTATCACTTTGAGCGCGTTGGTGTAGACTAGAGCATACAGAAGCGGAATTGGAACTGCTCCCTTTGTACCGAAGGTGGCGATAGTGCCAACGTTCTTTGTACTCCTGAAGATTTAATGTCATAAACACCTACAGCCACGACCACCACACCTCACGAAGTGCCACGTGGTCCAGTCCCACCGGCCGAAGCAGATGAGATCGGCGATGACCATCGAAGCGATCCTATGAGGTTCAAACTGGATGAACGTGCTCCAACGCAAGTTGCGTTTAACTCGTCACCAACCAGCGACGAAACAAACCGTCAACATCGACTCGAGTTGGCAATGTTAGAGGAGAAAAGAGCCGCGGAGGAGCGCTACATCGAACAAAAGTTCCGACTACTTGCCAATATGAACTCGGCAGGTATGTAAGCTTACAGATCGGAACAAATAGCTCATCGACATACTGAAAACGTTCTTTGGTAGACCGGAGTACATCTTAGAGAGAACGATTGAAAGGGTAAGGAAGTTGCCACCGCCTAAAGACAAACTGGAATCTCTCATAGAATTCTCGTTGGCCGTACGCAATATCTGCGCCACAATGGAGACACGTAAGCTGGAGGCGCATTACCAGGAGCTGGTAGACAAATTGCCCAATCAGAGCATGAATCACGTATGACGACAATCGTTTGGACGATATCGTATTGAAATTGTCTTGCATCATGAAAACATAAATTGATAGTTTAAGCAATATCGTCAACTCGTTTCCAATTTGGCAACGACTATCGTTTCAAAGTTACGTGATTCATGCCCAGCATAAATTGGACTGGGCGATGCATCTGCGGCGAGGCACTGCACCAACCATTAAAGAATTCAGCGACTGGCTCTATCGAATGGCGGAGGCGGCCTCTACGGTTGATCACCCGCGTTCTACAAAACCAGCTCAGTCAACACGCATAGCCAAGGTGAGTGCACTCCGTCGAGAATCCCTCCTCCAAAGAAACATGACATTCCACAAAGAGACAACCGTTCCCAAGGACCATCTTGTGAATCGTTGGACATGCAACCCAAGCGTTCGACAACGAAATGCATCACGTGCGGTGCAGTTGAACATTGCGCTGCACAGTGTGGAAAATTCCATAGCTTGTCCGAACAGCAGAGGTGGGAAACAGTAAAAAAAAGGTGGAGCGTGTTATCGATGCCTTAAACCCCATCGCAAAGGGTGCTTCTTGAAAAATAGTTGCGGCATAAATGGCTGCCCTCGAAAGCATCATCCATTACTCCACAGCGAAGGTACCGAAACCCCCGCCGACGCGGAAACGGACCAAGCCCACGTGAGCACGCACCGAAGTAACAACTCCAGTAGCCAATATTTCCGCATCATGCCCGTGAACCTTCATACAGCCAGCAAAACCATTAAGATTTACGCGTTTCTTGACGAAGGGTCTTTCGTGTCTCTCATTGACGAAGCGGCGTTCGAAAAACTCGATATCAAAGGAGTACCCACACCTATATGTTTGCAGTGGACCAGTGAAACTACACGCAACGAAAGTGCATCCGTAAGGGCATTAATACAGATCTCGGCTCCAAATACCGGCAAATTGTACTGGCTCAACAACGTACATACTATAAAAAATATCGCTCTACCTAAGCAAGCGATTAACGCAAGTGAACGTCGTAGTAAATATCCGTATTTAAAAGACATACCACTGCAGTCATATTACGAAGTTCAGCCAACTCTACTTATTGGGGCCGACAACTGGAAGATTGCTGTTCCACGCAGAACTCGTAAAGGCAGAAGGGACGAACCCATCGTTTCTAAATGTTTACTTGGGTGGAGCATACAAGGTACATCGACCGCATCGAGTTACGTGACTATGCACCACTGCGACTGTAGATGGCAAGAGCTGCATGATATAGTAAAAGATAGCTTTAGCCTTTATCCCGTAAAAATTCACAACGTACAGTCAGCCGACGACCAGCAAGCGATCGAAATTCTCGACCGGACATGCATCAAGGCGAATGGCGGATTTGCAGTCGGCCTTTTATGGCGCAACAGTAATGACACGCTACCAGAAAGTTACACCAACGCGCTCAATCGCCTTCACTGTCTGAAAGCTAAAATCAAGCGAGAGCCAGATTCGTACGACAAATTTTCTGTGCAAATTCGTAACCTATTGCAAAAGGGTTATGCGGTCGAGCTATCGGAGACGGAGATTACCAACCAGAACAAGCACCCTTGGTACTTGCCAATTTTCATAACGCTGAATCCCAATAAGCCAAAAAAATAAGGCGAAATCTCACGGAGTCTGTTTAAACGACTTTTTGCTTACTGGACCAGATCTCTGGAATCCACTTATCGAGATTCGGCTTGCGTTCCGGGTTAGCCAGGTGGCGACCTGCCGGGACATCGCGGAAATGTTCCACAAAATCAACATCCGCGCGGAGAACAGGCATGCACAACGATTCCTATGGTACGGAAAAGCCAGCAACCGCGTAAGCGTGTACATAATGCGCCCAATGACCTTTGGCAGTCAACATACATACTACATACGTGACAAGAACGAAGAATCATACCGCCAGCAGTATCCCCAAGCATACGAGGCCATCCGAAAGGCTCACTATGTCGACAACTACATCGACAGCCAAGGACAGCGAGCAGGAGGTTCCCGAGGTGGCAACTCTGGTTCGCAAGGTTCATCAAGCTGGTGGATTCGAAATCCGAAATTGGACGTCGAACTCCACTGAAGTCCTTATGCAGTTACTCGATGCCGACTTCGCAGCGCCAGTCCAATTTGGTAGCAACAATAGGTGTTAGGTATGTATTGGGTGCCACAAATTGACGTTTTCAAATATGTTCCCAGGTTCGCCCGGCTGCGACGTGACGTACTGATGGATGGCCTAGTCCCCACCAAAAGAGAGGTCCTACAGGTCCTCATGTCAATCTTCGACCCCCTGGGGCTACTGCCGTGTCACACAATTGGCTTAAAAATACTCCTCCAACATGTGTGGCGAGCCAACATAGGATGGGTGAAGTGCTGCCTAATTCACTACACCAACGCTGGCGTCAGTGGAAGCAACTTCTGCCAGATGTAGAGGCAATCGAAATTCCGAGATGCTATTCCCCGAATCTGACTAAATCGATTCGGGTACATCTCCACATTATCACCGACGCGAGCGAATATGCATACGCCGCGGCCCCTTATGTGCGGGTACATGGAGACAACATAGTCGACGCAACACTGGTGGCTACAAAAAGTAAGGTCGCACCGCTGAAGCCGATGACCATCCCACGCATGGAACTCCAAGCCGCAGTAATGGGTGTACGTTTGGCTCAAATGATCATCAACCTACGTGGTCTGAAAATCGGAAGCGCCACATACTGGTGCGATTCCAAAACGGTGTAACAGTGGCTAAAGATGGACTCCTGGAAAGATCCAACAATACGCAATGGCAATGGGTTCCAACAAAGTGGAACGTAGCAGATGGGGCGACGAAGGTCAATAGTATGGTGGGAAGTAAGCAGTGGCTGCACGGACCAGAGTTCCTAAATTGTACGAGAGCGAGTGGCCGCAGCAACCACAGCATTTCGAAGAAGCAGATATGACGGAGCTGAAAAAACACTTACACGTAACTCGAAAAAATGATGCCATAAAATTTAACGTGGAATATATCTCAGAGTGGCGTCGCCTATACAGAGCAGTAGCAACATTCCTTTTGTACTTCGATCGTTTGAACGCTAAACGACTCAACCGGACCAAACCGAACCATACTATTCCGGAACTGATCAACAAGGTGACCAACCTACTCCTCAAGCAACGTAAGCTGAAGCATACTCCGCAGAAATTAGTTTACTACTTGCGAAACTATCGCTAAACAAACAAAGCAGATTGGCTTTATTAAATGTTTACCTCGATGACAACGGGATCATGAGGGCTCAAAGCAAAGCCGACTCCATCAACTGCAGAAAAGACGCTATCGTTATGTTAAGGGAAAGCTAAATTACGTTCCTAATAGTAAAGGTATACCACGTCGAAAATCACAGTATGGCTCATGAGATGACTATGAACAACGTAATGGCCTCTTATTACGTGCCACGTTTGCGCGTTTTATAAAAGTCTGTGCGTAAATCCTGCCAAAAATGTAAGATAAATAACATCGTGCCTGAACCTCACAAATGGCGCCAATACCCGCAGCGAGATTGGCCAGCTTCGAGAGACCATTTACGTATGGACTACTTCGGACCCATACCGGTAAACGTCGGCCGGCATAAGGAGAAGAGATGGGGTGTGCTTTTTATTTGCCTGACACTACGAGCAGTACACTTCGAAATAGCTTACAGTTTGGATACTAGCTCCTGCATCATGTGCTTACACAACTTTCTGGCACGCCGTGGTACGCCGATGGAAATATACCCGGACAACGGCACGAACCTAAGGGCCACCGAGAAAGCTGTACGAGAGCAGCTGATGAAGATCGATTTTGACAAGCTAACCATAAAATACGATCGCATTAAATGACGCTTCAACATACCCGGCGCACCCCATATGGGAGGCGCCTGGGAACGACTCGTCCGAAGCACGAAAGCAATTTTGAAAAGCATCTGCCCGATGTATTCTTTCAACGACGAAAGTCTTCGTAGCACGCTGATGGAAGCAGAATATATTATCAACTCGCGCCCGCTGACCTTTGTAAGTCTCGAGTCATCGGACGACATCGCCCTCACGCCAAATCATTTATTTCTGAGCTCGGCAGATGGCTACAAACCTGTTTGCAGAGACGAGCTAGATCTAAGACAACGCTGGCACCAAACACAACTCTTCGGTGATAGATTCTGGCACCGCTGGGTAAGGGGATACGCACCAGTTCTTACTCGACGGGTCAAGTGGTTCTACAAATCTACACCAATAGCCGTTAGTGACGTCGTCATTGTCATCGATGAAAAGCTACCACGGAATCTGTGGCCGAAAGGACCAGTCATCAACACGTTCAGAGCTAAGGCTCGTAACTATACAAACTCAGTGCGGTACTCTGGAGAGCCCAGCGACAAAGGTGGCTAAATTAGACGTCGGCTTAGAAAGTTGTAAACAACCTAGGAATGTTCGATATTTAAGAAAGTATCGATATCATGAATCGATTTAATTCATTGCATGTAAAATCGTTATGGCGATATATCGGGCTGAACAATATCGATATAGGAAAAATCGATGTTGATAATCCTACTCCCAATTGAATAGAATATTAGACTTGCTTATCAACTCAACTAATTGTGTTATTTCCTTCTCGTATATATACTGAGAATTAAAACGGCATGCCGGTCGACTCAAGCGGTTTATCAAACTTAAGAGCTAAATAAATCACACAAGCTGCTGATTAAACCTGATGAAAAATAAATTTAAACTTAAATATCGATATTGCGGGTAAAGTATCGATGTCTTCGATATATCGACCTTGCAATATCGATTCAAAAAATCGATTATCGTGCCATGAAATATCGAACAATCCTAAAACAATCCGTGGGTAATTTACGGGTAATACTAGGTTCACATATAAGTAGATTATCCTCATTTTCGAGCTTAACTTCCTAATCTGTAATTAGAAAAAGAGATTAGCCATATAAAATTCTTCCCTTGTTAATCTGTAATTATAAAATAATCTCAGATTTAACCGATAGCTTTTCGGTGTCCATCCTAGTTTTATCGATTGTTTTTGCGAAGAAGAGGAGAAATGGCAAATGTAAAAGTAAACAAAAATGGACGCTAGCAAGGAAAAGAGGGTTTTAAAGGTGTTTTTTAATAAAATGTTGTTAAAATATATCTATATTGCTTAATATAGCAGAAAAACGTGATCACGGTGTCACAGAGAAGAAACATAACTTTTCCTTGAGATGTGAGAGTAACAAGCACAACAAATTTGACGGCTAATAATCTGAGATTTGCCTGTGTAAACGGGGTAATTAAAAAACGAGCTTTGATTGAGGTAATATTGATATGTGAACATAGTTTAAGGGTATGTTGCCGCCGAAACACCCATCGCACGATATCATAACACTCATCGTTCGATAACATATCACCCATTGTTCGATAACAAACCACCCATAGTGGAAAAGAAAAAATCGCACATCGTCAAAAAGAACGTGTGTGAAGAAGGAAGATAAATAGACGAAATTTTTTTAAAGCTGCGCTTTTCACAATTAATAAATAAACGTGAATTAATAGACTGCTAAAGAAACTAAATCTTGCAAATTTGGTTGAAATATGAACACATACTGTCCCTACGCATGATGCGTACTAACAAACCAGCAACATTTTTGAAATACAACCCGAAACTA